TTTGAACTTCCTCATTGAGCAAGACGAAATGAATCATATGGATTGAATTGCTTGTCTTGAAAATTATGTATTCATGATGCATGTCCTTAGGCCAGGAGGCTAAGGGAAATTACATAATGTGAAACGATGAATGAGCTTAGGTCATGGAGCTAAGCATCATATATGGTGTAAAGAAGCGATCTTGAACGTCACTTAGGTCTTGAAGCTAAGCACGTATATAAATGAAGTGATTATTGCATAATGAACGTTTCTTAGGTCAAGGAGCTAAGAACGATATGCTTTGTATGATTATAAGTGATTGATATAGAAATGTTACTTAGCACATTATGCGATGCATGAAATAATGAACATTGCTCAGGTCAAGAAGCTAAGCAAGTATACAATGTTTCTTTTAATGAATGTTGTCCTGAAAGATGATGAAGCATGCGCGGTAGGGAAACAAGATTTCATGAAAAAGGGTTCTTAAAGGGAAAGATCATATGGATATGGATATGGATGTGTGAGTGAAGTGTGTGAATGTGATACTAAGTCTGGCTGCAAAGGCTATGGTGATGGAAATTTATGTGAGAAGAGTCAACATTGTGACTCTTTAGGCTGGGTAGGCTAAATGATGTGGGATCAAGCCCCCAAGTCTAGCTCTAGATGTATAGGGTCATAGGATTATGCATTGGATAATCTTTGACTCAATCAAGCATATGAATGTGGTCGCACCTCGATGTGAGGTTGCCTACATATCCGTTAGGAATTAGGCCGAACGTAGCTCTAACCGAACTTTGCACAAGTGTATGTTTACCTCAAAGAGATCTTTCAAGGGTTTTAATGTGGTTAAGTTGATGGTTTAAGGAAGAAAGGGATAAAAGGCTCAAGACCTGAGAGAATCCCCAAGATGTGGAATTTTGAATTTCAAAATTTTGAATTTTGCAAGTTTATTTTCAACATTTTTTTTTCATTCTTTTGAATCAATGTAGGCAATCTCAGATCATGCGGTCCATCACTCACTTAGCATTCATGTTTCTCAGGCACGGTACCAAGCACTCGATGAGAGACGCAATTTGAGACATGTTCATATCAAAGACATTGGAACACTTGCCTTTAGACATTGTTTTATTGTTGCTTTGCTGCTTTTTTTTTTTTACTTGCTTTTTGAATGTTTTACAATTAAACATCTTCCAATTCCAAGGTTAAGTGAATGTGGGTTGAAGAAATGAAGGCCAAACATTAGACGAGGCTCAAAGTGTTTGATGAAGAAATGGAATGTGATTGAACGGGTAATAGGGAATGACAGGGTTGCAAAGGCGCCTCAAATCATTCGTGTACCTCGTGTTTAGTTCGACAATTAATTTTATTTTTATTTTTTTTGAGAATGAATGAAAAATTCTATGATCGAGATGTAAAGGAAAATTGGTCATTTTATTAATGGAAAAGGTGAACGAAACACATGAAACATATAAAAATTCAAAGTGGAAAACCTATGCTAGACATGAATGGGGGAATGGAGATGAATGATAAAGAAAGAAATCATGAAATCTTGCACGAAGGATATGTGTGCCTTGTATTCATTGCTTCTTGCCGCCTGGAGGGACAGGAAGTTTGTTTGCATCCATCAAGTCTTGAATGACGTCCTTCAAATTCCAACATTGCTCCGTAGTGTGGCCCCTTCCTTGATGGCACTTGCAATGGGCATTAGGATTCCATTTGGCGCTCCTTTCTTCAGGTTTTGGCTCTGGAAATGGTCCAATAGGTGTGATCAAGCCTTGACCGTAAAGGCGATCAAAGGCCGCATCATAAGTCATTCCTAAAGGAGTGTAAGTTCTTTTTCTTCTTCGGCAATGGAGCATCAAGAGCTAACACTTCATTGATATCAACTTGGCTTATATTGTTGGTAGTATTTTCGTGCTTAGAAGACGAAGAAGAAGGATGGTCGTTCTTCTTGTTTTTCCAAGTGTTATTATTGTTACTACCAGCAGTCTTTATTAGCTCATTCTCGATATTGATGCCGATGTCGTATACAGTTTCGAAAGTGTTTAGTGGAAGAAATTTGAGATGTTTCCTATATTTATGAGTCAGATTTTGAATAAAGAGGCGAACCATCTCTCTTTCTTTGGGAGGATCTACCAAGAGTGAAGCTGTTTCCCTCCACCTGTTCAGGTAAGCGGTGAAGCCTTCATTCTCTTTCTGTTTGAGAATGGAGAGTTCACGTTCAGAAGTTTTGGTTTGAATGTTACACTTGTAACAATTCATGAAACTGTTGGTGACATCTTGCCAAGTCGCAGTATGCTTGGCATCTAAGGAATAAAACCATTGTTGGCAAGCATGTTCTAAGGAGAGAGGGAACACCGTAGGGAAAAGTGTTACGTCCAATCCCTTAAGAGCCATGGTTGCAGAGAACGCCTTCAAATGGAATATTGGATTGTCAGTAGGCTTGAACTTTGGAATATCAGCAGTGGAGAACTTTTCAGGGAGTCTGTCCTTCACATCCAAAGGAGTGGGAGGTCGTTCCACATAAGTGAAATCCTCAGAAATCTTACTCATTTGTTCCTTCAGTTTGTCAAGGGAGGAAACAGTGACCTTGTTTTGTTCCATGGTAGTGACCCTAGTGGTAAGGGTTTGCATCATGGAAGACACTGCCTCGATGGATTTGTTGATGTTCTCAATGTCTTCTTTAGTGGCCATTGAAAGGTGATAAGTAATGTGGAGATGGCAAAGTTCTCTTTGAACGCCTATTAGATCTGATAGATTGTTGCGATAATGACTCGAACCGTATTAATCTATCCCTGTTCCTTGACCAAGTACTGTGAAATAAAATAATTCACTTAATTGTTTAACTCATTGCTCAAGATAGGAAAGGAAGGAAAAAAATAGACATTTGAAAACAGGTGAGAAAACTCCACTCATTTTTTTATTATGACGAAAAAAGGGTGCATGAACCTAGTATACGATCATAAACGACCTGGTGCACGACTCGAGTCGGAACATAAAGAAAGTGTGTGGACTATACTTGACTCGTGAGTGGCTAAGTGATGTTATAAGACTCATGGTATGATCGTATGGCTACACATGTGAACAATAACCAAAATGACTAATGCGAGGACCAAATTAACACGGAAGACTTGACTGGACTTATTTCAAGGGCACCGTGACACGGAAAACTGTACCGTGTCACGGTACAAACTGCCGTGATGCGGTGTTTTTTTTTTTTTTTTGGGAAATCCACCGTGTGGAAATTGCCGTGACATGGTGAACTTTCCCGTGCCACGGTGGATGCTGACGTGGCACGTGATTTTTTTTTTTTTTGGAAATCCACCGTGTCACGGTGGAAATTTGCCGTGACACGGTAGAGTTTCCCGTGGCGCGGCAGACCTTTTTTTTTTGCTACAGGTCCACCGCGCCACGGTGAACTTTGTTGTGACACGGTGGACAGTCCCGTGTCGCGGCAACCCTTCCCCCCCCCCCCTTTTTATTATTGTTTTTTTCTAATTACTAAGTGAGTACGGTCCATTGGCAATCGTTACTCATAAAATAATCCACCATAGACAAAGAAAGATCGTTAAGGTTAGGATCAAAACGACCAAACATAAAACACATAGGCACAATGATGCAAAGAATAGTTCGCAACCTAAGGTCAAGTTCTATGTTCGACTATGGTCAATTTTATTTGGTGTCAATAGGGTACCATGGTTAAAAGTTTGGACGCGTTAGCAAGGCAGCCTCCCTTGAGGGTGTATGCCAACGGGCGGCTCCGCGAGTTCGTGATGAAATCGAACTCGACTCCATGGTTTGGGTGGATTTAATAACTCGGATGAACCCTTATTGCCATGAGCGTTTTTGGGTTGATAGAGCTTAAATCCCCCGGGGCTAAGACATATGTAGAACACACACGTTTTTTCAGAAAAATCAAAGGAAGATGACTGTGAGAAGAGAAAATAAGCCACCGGACTGATTTTAGGACTGTCGTGACACGGCAAAGATTCCCGTGCAACGGTACGGCACACTGTCAAACGGTGCACTGTACCGTGACACGGCATATTTTGTCGTGGAACGACAGTCATAAAATCTAATTGGTGCCCTGTTTTCTTTCGTACGCAATCAAGTTATTCAATTTTTCCTACGAGACAGACCTGAATGCGACGTTAAAATGTCTATGCATATGCAAAAATGCCAAATTAATCACAGGAATATTTTTCAAGAATCTTTCAAGTCTCATCCACTCATTTTAATTAAATATCGATCACTCAAGTCGATAAATAACCAAGAATCCTCCCCAGTGGAGTCGCCAAATTGTAGGCATCGCTCGAAGTGCGCCTACGTAAAAATCATGTGTGAATATGCTTGGTACTCATAGGAAGTGGGAATTGACATTATACGATTAGGGACAAGGAAAGTAGGGAGCCACCAACAAATTTTTAAGGAACTTGTAAACCGTTCACGGATCATAAAAAGGCAACCACGAATAAGGGACAACAAAGGCAACAACGATTGACCCGTGAAGGTTACACCCCATTCATAATCCATGAGATTACTAACTCCATATGGTTCGGAACCACGAAACGAGGATCGGGGATGATGGTACAAAGTGAATCATGGAGTCATATTCGCCCGTATTGGCATCTACTCGATTCTTATAGTGAAAAGTGATTCTTGCGATCTCAAAGGCATACAAACAAAGATTCAATTTGTTCCAAACTATTATTAAGTTAAATTGGTTGAATACTAATGCAACACATAATTCTAAAATATCGTGATCACTTGATTAAACAATAAGATTAAAAAGGAACCTAAACCGGTTGTCCAAATTATCTTATTAGGCGTTATTTTCAATTACATATTCTCTTTAAACATGCAATATGGTGATCAAAATAATAATAGAATAACAACAATATTGGAAGCAATTTAACAATAATAGTGTTAGTCAAATCAAATATAAAAATAGTTAAACAACTTAATCATGATACTAGCAATATAAAATAAAATAAGAGTAATTAATTTAATTAATTACTTACATTCAGCACGTCCCTTTAAATTGCTACATCATGAATAAACTGTTAGTAACTTCAATAAAAAAATATAAATTAAATGGAAATTAAATTAAATAAAAAATAGAGTTGATTTGGTCCAAACCCTCACTTATTTGTACCTTTCACGCCTTGGTTTAAGGACGGAACCTCGGGTTAAGTATAGACTCGTTGGAGTGCTTAGGTGAATTATTATGGAAGAATAAGGAGGCTAGAAATTATGTTAAAGAGGGAGAAGAGAATGATTTTTTGTGTAAGGTGAGAGAGAATGATTATTGGTGCCCCCGAACTGCAGAAAGGGGGGGGGGTCCTATTTATAGGGAAAATGAGCAGAGGGAACACGCGGAACCCTAAAAAGATAAAAACCCTAAAAAATAATACTGTGTCACGGCAAAGAGCACCGTGACACGGTGACAGGCACCGTCAGACGGGGGAAGATCCTGTGACACGGGGAAAAACTGAGTGACGCTGGAAATAATTAGGTTACGGGAAGTGAAAACGCGTTTAGGGATTACGCGGAGAAAACACGGAGCAATCCCGTGGCACGGGATGTGCACCGTGACACGGGAAGAAATTTCCTGACACGACATTGTCCACCGTGGCACAGTGCAGTATGCCGTGTCACGGTGTAAAAAGTACGCGGAAATTACACGGAATATCCCCGTGTCACGGAATGGGCACCGTGACACGGTGCAAAATCCCGTGAAACGGGAGAAAATTGTGTAGAAATACTAAAATGAGCACCGTGTCACGGGAATCAGCCCCGTGACATGTCAGCTTTTGCCGCGTCGCGGCATTTTTGTTGTTGCGCGGTAATTTCAGTTTTTTACCCGTTTTTAAAATAATCATAACGTTTGATCCGTAACTTGGAATAAAGCATATAATATATCATTGGAAAGGTTATCAAGTCTACTTTCCAACGTTTTTAGAATCAAGTCAAAATGATATGTATATTTTAAGATATGGACGTTTTAGGGGAAGGGTGTCAGTTTTAGGGCGAGTTTAGTGTTTTGCTCATATCTTTTTCGTTATAGCTCGGAATTGGGCTTATGATATATGGTTGGAAAGCTTATTTAAAGGCCTATCCAACTAAATAATAATTGGATCAAAATTGTATATCCATAAAATCAGTTTCTCTCAGTTTTGCGATGTGGACACGAAAAGTGGAAAATAGGTTATGGTTTAGGGAAATGAGCTAGAAATTGGATTGGTTCATGAAATATATTGGATAGAACATGAATTTAAGCACTCCAAATATTAAATACTAAACTCGACCAATAATGGCGGTGAAAGGTGTTCATCGACAGGTTTGGTTTTGGGGAGACATTTTTAGGTGTCTACAACTACCACCATTCACCAAGAATTACCAACTCGACTAATAAACAAAACATAGTCAGTTAATATTGTTTCTTATTAGTATAAATCAAAAAGAAAAAATTAAACACAAATGCAGTTTAGGGAAAAAAAATTTCTTAAGAAGCACAAAAGAGTGTACATGCAAAGAGATATAGCATAGTACAGCTACAAATTAGACACAAATACTGCAAAAATATAGATTGACTTAAAAAATGTATCATTAGTGAAAGAGTGAACCTGTGATCGAAGCACGTTCCTGCAATTCTGCTGATAAAGCATCTACTTGCTCTTTGCTTAGGACCTAAATTAATGAAAAAAGAATCAAGATACGAAATGTAAATTTTTAAAGATTAAGTAAAATAAAAGATCATCTCTCTTTAAGTAAATTTAAAAAATTGCTTAAGATCATCTCTCTTTCTGTTTATTTTTCTAATGGAGCTTAAGATTAGCTAATAATGCATTTGGATTTTTCAAAATGAAAGATATTTTATTGCCACCTCAATCCAATTATTTATGACAATTTTACTAATAATGGATATAAGAATTTCAAAATTCTCTTATATTTGGGACTTGTATACATAATTTTCAATCTCAAATTGCAAAGAAGCATGCTTCATGCTATTTTATGACAGTTACGTTGTATCAGAAGATTGAGTTAGAATAATTCTATGTTTTTGACTTTGATTATTTTAAAAGCAACATCACTAGATATTATAGAAGACTTAGGGTCGAAATTCTGCTCTTAGGGACAACACTATATGTCTAAATTCTCATGCCGCACATTTTTTCTTATGACTCATAAAAATTCGATAAAGAATCCACTACAAATCACTGTGTGGAATCCAAATATCTCACAATCGCACTAATAAACCTTTCCAAAGCACAAAACCAATGGCCCAATACATTACCTAGAAATTGATTTATTAGGTGATTTGAATCCATTATCCACCAAAAATCTGTCCTCCCTTAATCTAGAATTTTCAAATAGCTCAATTCATAAGTGAATCATTATTTTCCTTTCTTATTATAGTTCCCATAACACATATAACTACCAGAAACTTGTCAAATTTGATAGCATTTATCAATACCATCATGACTTCCTGAGCTTCTCCCACATGAATTAATCAAAACCAACCTTCACATTAACACAAAGCTACTATGCCTTCAAGATCAACAAAAGAATAAGGAGTACCTAATAAAGGTACCAAATACTGATAACTTAACCAACAATAACCACACTGCACAATACTTTAAAATTTTCTAAATTAGCTATTATTCTTCATAAACATTTCATAATAAACACAAACCATCAATTTTTATTTTCAACCCACCTTCCATCAAATTCGAAATCACAATGGTAACCAAAAGTAAACTGACATCAATAATACAAAAATGCTAATCGCTAGATCACCATAATTCATATTCAAAATAATTAGCTCAAAATTGCTACTTGCTAAATCATCTAAAATAAGATTATTAGCTCAACCCAAAAAAAAAAACAACCAAATAAACTAACATCAAAAATACAAAACTACTAATCGGTGGACCAACATAATTTTGATTCAGAACATAATTGTATGTTCATGTAATAAGCTATCACCGCTAAGATCGAACAAAACCTGAACAAAATACCAATTCAATTCCAACAATCAAAGGTAAACAATACCAATAGTTAGTGAAAAAATAAGTACCTTCACTGACACCTTCACCAAAGACAAAGCATTCAGCTGCATGGAACAAAGAACACAATTATCAAAAGAGATTCAAAAATTAATTTTATAAATAATAAACAACAACACAAATCTAGACACTTGTAGGACAACCGACACAATTTAGGATTAGGATTTTATGTCTTCAAACACAATCGAAATAAGTGAACAATCAAAATAGCTCAAAGATCAAAGTATCTCAACCCAACGTAAGAACCAACACCCAAAAACTCGAAATCCAGAAATAAAATTTTAATTGAAATCTAAAACCAAAAAATTCACGACAATTCCAACCCTTCTCCACATCTAAATAGTACGAAACGAAGTATATATTAGCTCAACCCAAAAAATTAAACAAAATCTACACGAATTATTATATATTAGCTCAACCCAAGTTTACTCATCTACAATCAAAACTCACCAGATGAAGCTCGGAAAGACTTTCGATGGAGACCAAACAGAAAAAAAAAAAGGAAAGAGAAAAGAAGATGGGAAAAATGAGTGATGGCAAGTGATTTCAGGGAAAAAGAAAAGAAAAAAAAGGACAGAGATGAAGTGGACAGCAATAAAAGTTAGCATACAATGGCAAGACCGTAAATAACTAAGCAAAGCAAGGGTATATCCGGTGTCACACTGTCCTACTGTTCATAATGAATAGTTCCGCATATCTTCTCTCTTTTAAAGAGTGTAGATACCCTCCTCATTTCTGCAGTTCGGGGCACAAAAATCATTCTCTCTCTTCTCTTTTACACCAAAAATCATTCTCCTCTCTCTTTCTCTCTCGTACTCTAAGCCTTAAACCTATATTCCTAATTACACTATTCTTCCCTTAAGCACTCCAAGGAATCCATACTCGACTCGAGGTTCCGTCCTTAAACCAAGGTGTAAAAGATATAATTAACTGAGGGTTTGGACCAAATCAAATCTACATTTATTTAATTTAATTTCCAATTGATTTATATTTTTTTATTGAAGTTACTAACAATTTATTCATGATGTAGCAATTTAAAGGAACGCACGAAATGTAAGTAATTAATTAATTTAATTACTTATTTTATTTTAATATCGCTAGTATCATGATTAGGTTTGACTAACGCTATTATTGTTAAATTGGTTCCAATATTAATTTTTATTCTATTATATACCTATTGATCATCATATTGCATGTTAAGGGGAATATGTAATTGAAAATCACACCTAATAAGATAATTTGGAGGACTGGTTTAGGTTCCTTTTTAATCTTGTTGTTTAATCAAGTGATCACTAATATTCTGGAATTATGTGCTGCATTAATATATTTAACCAATTTAGCATAATAATAGTTTGGATCAAATTGAATCTTTGTTTGCATGCCTTTGAGATCACAAGGAATCACTTTTCATTATAAGAATCGAGTAGATGCCAATACGGGCGAGTGTGACTCCATGACTCAGTTCGTACCATCATCCTCGATCCTCCTTTTGTGGTTCTAAACCATATGGAGTTAGTAATGTCATGAATTATGAATGGGGTGTAACCTTCACGGGTCAATCGTTGTCCCTTTATTCGTGGTTGCCTTTTATGATCCGTGAACGGTTTACAAGTTCCTTAAAAACTTGTTGGTGGCTCCCTACTTTCCTTGTCCCTAATCGTATATGTCAATTCTCATTTCCTATGAGTGTCAAGCATATTCACAACATGCTTACGTAGGCGCGCTTCGAACGACGCCTACACTACTAAATAGTTTATGTTGTTCTAATTAACTTAGCAAGTCATTATCTTAACAAGTATCGATACTGCTTGAGTATAACACTTGGAAAGTGACCTCAAAATATTGAAGATAAGCCAAGTTATTGACGTACAAGCTTAGAATGAAGTTAAAAGAGCTACATTAGTTGTAAGGTCGTATGCTTTGTTTAAAGACCTTTTAAACTAAGCCTTGAACAAAAAAATGGTTATTGTATTCTATAATCAACAAGCAATTCGTTAACACACAGAAAGATTCACATTCAAATTAAAGAGCGATAGTTGCGAATTTGTTTGAATGGCATGGTTGTCTAAACCATGAGTCAAGAATTCTTAATTATAAACAAACATTTCCCTAACATGAAAAATCATAAAATTTCAATTCATAGGCATGATTTGTGTTCCGAACATTTTTAGCAATGTCACATTAACAAGAACGTACTCAAGGCTATATAGGCTCTTGACAGTTGATCGATTCGGAATCGTTCAAAGACAAGAAAGTCTTACTCGTTAAAAACCGACAAATTAAAGAGCTATTGTTCTTGGCATATACAATTGACTCCTAACGCTAAAGAATTTTCAGTTACTTCAAAGTTTCACGAAGAATTTGAGAGATTATGGCTATATTTATCAAATGTGAACAAACTTGACCTTGACTAGCTCAAGAGTTCAATAAAGTACAGAATTGACTTAGCAAGATATCAAAACGTCTACATCGAGTGTTGTTTGCTTGAGCTAAGCATGACCATCTTAAAGTTATGAAATTGAAAATTTTCATAAATAACTCCACAAAGAACATAGTGTGTCTTCAAGAAAACCTCGATGCCATTTGAAAATGACTCGAACAATGATTGATCATTCCTTTCTATAAAACTATTAATGAATTGCACAAATGACTAATGTTACACTAAACAAATTGTCGAAACTAAGAAAGGACGCCATAATAAATTATAGACAGAAATAACTTGTAATCGTCTTTAATTTTTAAGTATATGGCTAAAACTCTTAGCCATAGTGGGAGCTCACTGGCTCATTGGGAGCTAAGTGACTCAGTGGGAGCTCACCGGCTTAAAAAGAGTTAGGTGGTTCAGTGAGAGCTTAATTTCTCATTAAAGGCTAAAATAGTTGAAGTGGGAGCTAACTGTTTGTTTCACAACAAAATTTTACCCAAAACTATATACATGTCTCTTTGTAAGCATTCAAGTGAGACTACGGGCATTACCTCCACAATCTAAATGAGAATATAATGTTTGTTGCTTTAAATGGTGTCTTTCTGAAAAGTAACACATTTCCAAAACGACAAGTGGGAGGAAAATGAATTCGATGACTATCAAGCTTAGCAACAAACTAGAACTGAGAATCTTGAAAGACTCAAAAGGGCTTCATGAGAATGATTGATCAAGAATACTCAAAAGGAATTACAAGTGCCTTAAAAGAGAATTCATTACTCACAAAACTTTCGAAAAGTTGGAGTAAGATTAACATAATTGAAGGGGCTTTGAAACCGTCTTGAAACTTAATGTTTGATGCAATCACCTCGTATAGATGTAGAATTCACCAAAAGCTTGGATTGAGTCCTATAAATTTTCTATTAAGATAAAAATAAACCTTGTAAGATAGCTACGACAAATCCAAATTTTGAATAATGGTTAGAGGCCATAAAATCCGAATAGACTCCATGTTTGAAAATCATGTTTAAAACTTGATTAATTTTCATGAAGGGTGAAAGACCCATCAATCACAAATAAGTTTTCAAGGAGAAAACTAACAAATGTGGAAATGTAAATGCATACATAGCTAGATTGGTTGAAAAGGATAGAACTAAATTTACAGAGTTGATTTTAATAAAAACCCATTCACCAATCGGAATGCTCAAGTCTTTTCGTGGTTATTCTAACAAAATTGCACATATGAAATATGACAAAATAGATACCAAAACTGCCTTCCTAAAATAGGATTTTGGAAGTGACTATGAAAATAGTCTAAGGGTTTTGAAAATCTAAATAATGCTAGATTTGAACGCAAGCTCAAGAAATCCATTATGGGATTGAAGGAAGCATTGCATAAAGGAATTGAAACGGGTTTTCTCATAAATTTAATAAAAGGATTGACTTATGGAGAAACATAGAAATTCTTGTGGATAAGAAGTTTAGTGTGGTAAGATTCAATCTTGTAAGGTCTAAAAAGAAATTTACGAACTCTATTGTAAATTAACTATCAAATGCTAAATGCTTAGATTTGAAAGTATTTTCGACAATGGACCAAGCAAAAGACAATACTTAGTACACATTGGGTATTAAGATCTATTGTATAGACTTAATAAAATGTTTAAATGCGTAAAGAAATTTACCATGTTAAACATGAATTGAAGGGATTTGAAAGGCTTTCGACCCATATGTAAAAAACTATGTAATTTTTTGTACTAAGTGTAAGATAGGCTAAATAGTAAGTCAAACAAGAAAGACTCGAGTTGAGACTTTCAACCATATCACATAGCAAACAGTTTAGTAAGACTCGGTGAAACTGGATTAGATAAAATGTAACGTGGATGGATAAAGATTAAGAATCATTCTACAATTAAATCCATCATGCACGCTATAATATGGAATCGTCACACAACTTACTTGGTTGGAGCAAGAGAAGAATAAAGTACCAATCAAAATAAATTCGAGTCATAGACCGTTAGATTATGATAAAGAACATCCAAAATACTTGAATAAGTAAAAGGAATGGGTTCTTGACTCATGGAAACAAATACAATTTGAGTATTGATGTTGCAAATACAAACCTTAACAAGGATGAAATCCTTAACAAGGAAGCCATTTGTAATCACGAAAGTAAGAAGCGTCGTGTCTTGAGAATGGTAACATGGTTGTGCATCCAAGTGTAATGTGCATAAATTTAAGGTAAATTTACATTATCACAAGTGATTAGGGTATCCCAATCGTTGTGAGTTTTTTGGAGTGAAATCTAAGCAAAGCATCATTAGGAAATCTACTAAACTATATGTTGGGAATATTGTTGCTTTAAAGGCAATAATAAGGAAGATGTGAAATGGAAATTTCGTTGTGGAACAGTGATGATTGTAGTTGTCAAATTGAAGATCCCAATCATGAAAATGAGTGGGAACCATCACTTGGACAATAAATCCTAAATCACATATAATCCCTGACACTCTCTAATTTTATCATCTTATTATGAAAGTGATCAATAATGAAGATTCTAAGATTAGCAAAGTAATTATAAACTGAACTTATGCAATAAGTGACGCGAGTGCATGGAACTTAGTGGAAGAAGTGGAAAAATTACCACGCGTCGTGACACGAAGTCGGGCCAAACTCCTTGGAGGTCACCTCTTGGGACTAACCATCATCACACTTGAAGACAAGAAGATTTGAAGAGGTTCGGCCGAACTTAGAAAGTCCGACCGAACCATTTTGTCAGTTTCCATCCCGATTTTGTCAGTTTTGCAGCAGTGGTCGAACTCCAAAGGTTCGACCGAACCAGGAGCAGAACAGTTCGACCGAACCTACCCTTAGTTCGGCCGAACCTACCCACAAGTTCGACCGAACCTTTTCTCGTTTTCTTGTCAGTTTATGCGAACTAATTAAGTTGTTTTAAGACGTTTTGCTTCTTAATTAATGTCGAACTTTGATTGATTTTGTAATCAAAAAGACTTTTTCTCTCTACCATAATATTTGTAATTATCTTGCTTTCTTTGTGATTGTTACCTTGTAATCTTTTTGGTTACACCTTAATCCTCGCTTTACTTGGTGTTGGCTTTGATTAAGACCCCTATTTTCATTATCTTGGTGATTTTGAGATAGGTTTGCCTTATTTTGTTGGTTTGAACTTGTTCTTACTTGATTTCTCCTCCCTTTTTCTTGGGTTTTGTTGGTTATTTCATATCATTTGGTATCAAAAGCCTAGGTTATTAGCCTAGAAAGATACTACCTTTTTGAATTTCTCTTTCCCCCTCTCAAAAGATCTCATCTTTTTCCACAAAAATTTGAAATTTCTCT